TAATATAGTATATAATAAATTAATTATAATATATAATAATAATTATATTAATTATTATTATATAATTTAATTTTTAATAATTTTGTTTTTCTTGTTCGAAAATGTTTTAATAGAAGAAAAATATTAGTAAAATAAATGGCGACGATTATATTATAGTACTAAGGTAGAATCCGGTTTTAATGTAAGTGTCGAACGTGAGTTCTCGAATGCATAGGCTGCTGAAACGCTATGGGTGGTCTAACGTGTGTGGAGTAAAGGTCAGCCAACGTCATTATCTTCGCTGCCAATCACATTAATTATTCTTTTAAGAAGCGTTAGTCGATATAGGACGAAAACATATATACCTTTTTCAATGGTTTATATGTTTTTTTTTTTTATAGATATAACAAAAAAAATAATATATTAACAAAAGTTAATATATTTTATTGTTTAACGTAATATAATTTCTTTGTAATTTTTAAAAAATAAATTCCAATAACGTTGAGAAAAAGATCTTAGAAGAGATGATTATTATTCTCACGGTAAAATGAGATACTTAATTAAACTAAACCAATCGATCGTTTATATTAACCCTTTGACTGCTATTAACGCATATATGCGTTTGGTGAAAGTTATTAGAATGAACTACACGTGTTTGTCAATGTTAATGTAAAATAATGTAATGTTGGTTTGAGTATTGGTAATTAATTTAAATTTTGTCACGTCAAAATTATATTAATATATTATTAATTATAATATAAAATTAATAATAATAAAATAATAATATATATAAAATTATAATTATTACATATATAATTATATTAATTACATATATAATTATATTTATTATAATATAATTTTAAATATTAAAATATAGTTTATTATTTTTAAATTTAGTTAAATAATATCAATAAACAGAAACATAACAAATTCGTATTAATTATAAATTATTCTGTATTCTATAAAAAAAAATACTTTAATTAAAAGTTATTTAGCAAATCAAAGGGTTAAATCGATGGTTTCTAACTCACCCAAGACGCGCCGCAATCTCCAGCTCCTAGTGTCTGAAAGGCCGGCATGCATCTGAACGTCATTTTGAACTTTACCGCCGAAATATTATCATCCAAAGGTCGAGCACCGTTCTTCGGTCACAACTTACCTAGAACAAAACCAAACACTTAGTTAGCAATCTAAATCGACATTTTATTCTTTTTTTTTAAATCTATTTTATTATTTCACGATAGGTTATATTAGGTTATGTTATTTTATACATGATTATTGAAAACTACGATTATTTTCACTTATATTGCAATTTTCAAATATTTCCTAAGTATGTTAAAAGATCAAACGAAAAATATTAGAATGGGGATAATAATAACGATATTATTATCATAATTTTAAGCGGATGAGAGAATTTAAACTAAATGTACCCCTTACTTCACCTCTTCCTGTTATTTTAAACTTTTATCTCTTTTCTCCATTACCAATTCGAAACTTATCCGTCGGCTTTTCAACGATCTGTATAATACTTCGAATTTATTTTTCTCATTTTCTTTTTACAATGATAACTTTAACTTTTGACTCGTGTGTGTAAAATTTGAATTAATGGAATGTTATTGGAAAAATTGATACTTTTTATTTCATTTTTTTGGTGTGTTAATTTTCAATTGCAGCAGATAGTTGAAATTATTCGTATGACGTTAATTTTAATGCGATATCAAGGTCTATCTAACAAAGATTCACGATACATTTTTACGTTAGATTGAGAAAACGAGTTAAACCGCCATTTTTTTGCAAACGAGTTACGTTTAATTAAACGTGAAATAAAAATTAATAATTATTTCCGATAAATAGGAATAATTAAGTTCATTTTCATTAGAAAATTTGTATTCTATATCTTATTTCATGAAATAAGGATTTAATATTATGCATGTACTGTATTAAAAAAAAAACGTATAAGAAAATCTGTATATATATTATCATTGAAGATTCAAAACCGTGAAAAAGGGAATAAGGGATGAAAATCGATTGAACGTTATCTCAAAACGTTTATGCAATGTCCCATACAAATCTACATACATAATGTTATACAGATGCTTTCCGATACTTATACGCATTCTCAGAAACTAATAACACGGAATTGGAGATGGTGTATAGTGGTGGTGGTGTTATAGGGGAGAGTCGTGGCGTAGATTATACGTATAAAGGACCTTTAATCGCACCATAGCGATTATATTTGCAGATATCAGTAGATTTCACGATAAAGCTACTCATAGAAAGAGAGAGAGAGAGAGAGAGGGAGAGAGACAAGGGTTACAAGGATACTCGTAGAACGCACTAACGCAAAAACGCACGTGTCGTTTGAGAATCGTATCGTAGTAAATTAAGATTAGTTATTGTCATTAAGGTTTATCTCATTCTAATTAAGATCATATTGTTCCTCTTATCCGATGCCAATAAAGATTTTATGTATATATATACTATATGTATATACTAGGATACTGCGGCCACGAGTTGTTGTGGTTTTGTAACAAAATTTTAATTTAATATAATTTTAAACTATTTAGCAAATTATAAAAACACACAAAATAATAATACACGAAATAATAGAAAAAGTAAGGTTATGTCGTATATAAATTGAAATACAATCTATTTAATACTTAATAACCTTAATAATAATAATTTAATAATAATTTAATAATAATATTAATTTATAATATTAATAAATATAATAATAATAATTTATACTTAAATAACTATCTATTTAAAAGCAATCTATTTAATAGTTAAATAATCTAGAAACCTAAATAACCTATAAATAATAAATCCTTAAATTAGTAATAAAAAATACAAAATATTCACGATAAAAATTATCTTATGTATTAAGTTGAAAAAAAAAAAATATACACAAAATGAACAAAATTTCAAATTACAAAAATTTAATAATAAAAATGTATATATATATTTTTTTATTAATATTACATTTAGCGAAACTTTATCTATTTTTACAGTAAGGGGTCAACAAAAATCTAATATAGAATGAGATTTGGGTCAAATAAATAGGACAGAAAATATTTTGTTTCATTTACAAATGAATGGTGTATTTTTTATGCATTTTCATTGCATTATGATAAAATACAGAACGTCTATCATTTCATATAGGTTTAGTATTAAATATTTTAACTGTAAATATTAACATTTAAAGATATATTCTTTTTTTTTTCAACATATGTTGAAGTTAGGTCAACCCTCCACGTTTTAAAGGAGACATTTTGAAAGTTTGAAGTTTATTTAGAAATGCAACGTCACCACCCAACTCTCAATCTCTTATTCTATTTTTTTTTTCTTGTTGTGCAATCTACTACTACTACTACTACTACTAACCCTACTACTGTGTTTTGCGTCTAATCTACTCCATCTAAGATTTGGCATAGTCAGCATCACATCATGGCATCACGAAATCGTCCTACAAAACTGTTTTTAAACAGTCCGATCAAGAGAAACTCCTCGCCTACTTCAAAATCTTCCTATTCACTATGCCGAAATCCTAAGAATGTTAAGGGAATGGTTGAAAGATTGGATTGGTGTATTGGCAAAATCATAGATCGGTTCGATAAATAATTTTAGGTTTGTCGAATCTATCTAATCCGTCTTTCGTCTGGTTTCGACGAGAAACAAAAAGAAACAAAAAGAAAGAAACAGAAAACGAAAGAGAAAGAAAGAAAGAGAGAGAAAGCTTCTTCGTTTCACGATGGAATCCGAAACATTTTTTTACAGAAAACCGTTGCATAAGCGTCCTAACTTCTCTTCTTACCCCCACCTTTCTTCACCTCGTAGTCTGGAAACGATTATTAGCCCTGAACGGAGAGCGCATTCTTCCGACGGACGAATAAAACGACATAGAAATAAGGGTAGGGGGGGAAAAGGGACGGCTTGGGGTAAAAAAAAGGGTAGAATACAAAAAAAAAACACGAAGAAGAAGATGATGATGATGAAGATGAAAAAGAAGATGAAGAAAAAGAAGAGGAAATAGAAAAATAAATGAAAAAATAAAAAGAAGAAAGATCACTTTCTTACTTTCCCTCTCTCTCTCTCTCTCTCTCTTTCTAAAATCCAAGTTAGAGAGAAAGAGAAAGAGAGAATAAGAAGATGACGATGAAGAAAAAGAAGAAGAAGTGAGAAAAGAAAAAAAAATTGGAAAAGGTGAAACAAAAGGGAAAAAGAACGAAGAAGAAAAAATGAGAAGTGAGAAAGGAAGAAGAAAGATCATTTCTTTTTACTTTCTCTTTCTCTCTTTTTCTCTTTTTCTTTTTCTCTCACATAGTTCGGTCCTGATGCGTTCCACAAGCTGGCGGAAAACGCAGAAACGGTGTGCTGCAGGAATGAATAATGGGATCCGAACGCAGCCATGCCAGGGCACTCGGTTGAATATTCATAATGCGCTTCTATGCGCACGGATGCTACACACACACACACACACACACACACACAAACACACACACCTATACACACATATACACATATACATATATAAGGGGACGGCGATTTCGGCTGCCGAGAAATTCTCTCCTCTCTCTCTCTCTCTCTCTTTCTCTTTCTCTGGTATGTCTGGTTTACTTGTTTGCTGCTGCCAGTTTTTACGCGCACGCGCACGAATTCTTTCGCGTGCGCGTGCACACGCTTCGTGTTTCTCTGCGCCCGCGCGCACATAGTTTGTATATTGTGTGTGCGTGTGTGTGAGTGGTGGACCGCCACCGAGTCGAGGAACAGCACAGCATCCGCGTTTGTAGTTCAGAAAAGATCATCTAGTCAAGAAGAGGACGAAGGACTAAGCTAGTCACCTGCTTGTGTATCCTTTGAGAAACTTAATAACATCCCTCACTCAACCCCCTCAAACTCTTCAGTCTAGCCCTTTTGTTTCTATAAATTTAATCTTAAATAATAATTTAGTTACGTTTTTCAACACCACCGCAACTATGGCAAAATGTTTTGACATAGAAAATATATTACGTGTGCTATTAAAATATACTTTTAGTAGGATTTTAATCCAATATGGGGTTTAATAGAATCAAGAAAGATACTTTACGAGTAAAGTGCTTATAATAAATGGTGCTCGTAACTATATATATACCACCTACGCAAAAAATATTTATACTACCTTACATAATCTCTTTCATACCTTATAAATTTTGTATATAACATATTTCTACAATATATTATAACATAAAATAATAGAAATATTTAAATACCAATAATTACTGAACCATTGCTTATATATAATAATATTATATACATATATATATATAATGTTATAATAACATATAAATTATAATATATGTTATATATATGT